AGAAGCTATCTGTGTAACAGTGAAGTTATAGTTGTGGCAATTTTGACCAAAATTTCTTAATGTTGCAGACCTCTTTGAAGTCACTTCCTTGCATCACAATTAGGACAAGAAAAATCAGGAGAGCATGAAAAGACAGAGCTTGAGAATGTAGAATAATTATTTTGCACAAAATTATAGGCTCCAGAAAGAAAATGAGAATGCTTTGAGAAAGATTATATTTAGTCATCTGTGCAATGAAATATTTAAATGTGTATATGAATACACTTGTATCTTACAAATGATGCTTCTCAAACCCAATTCTGCATCCTAATGACTTTCCAGGTTTCATTTTTCTGAGAATTTCTCTGAATACCACATGTCTTCAGGATTAGGCATTTCTTTCTAGAATTGATGAGCATTTAGATGAAATTTGAATACAGTGAAAGGACAAACATGAACCTATAAATGTAATTTCTTTTAGTTTATTTTTTCCATTCAGTTGAGAAATATGACACAAAGCTGAATGAAAAGATGAGATGAGACATCATGAAAATAAATGTGAACACTATTAGAAAACATGAGATAAATTTCTTCCTACCACCAGAAAGTACTAATTTTTCCCTTATCTAGAAATAGGGAGGTAGTTAATTTCTGTTAGACTTTCCAAAGCCAAAGCAAGCTAGACATTACCACTATGATAGCACTACCATGAATGATTTCTGTTATTTTTGCCTTGGTTAAGCTTACCAATTATTTATCAAAAATACTATCCTAGACCTTTTGGATAATGTATTTTAAGTTACTAACACACACTACAGTAAATTTTGAATCAAGCAAAATAGTTTCTGTACGGGTATGATCTTCACACAGTCACAGGAGAGCTTAGAAGAACAAATTCAGTCCCTCAACAGGGTCTTGGCCTCTAGAAAGCCAAGCTTGAGCAACGAGCAGGATCTTCCCAAGCTCTCTGTCCCAAGCTACCTGTCTGCTCTGCAGAATTTAGACTAGTCATACCTCCAATACCACATGAGTCAATTCTATGAGTGGCCTACCTACTCTCTCTTTCACGTGTCCATCTACCCTACCTGCTCTTTCTCTGCAGAAACTGATCAGTACAAATCCATGCAGGCAGTTCTGAGAAGATCTGAGTGCTTACTGTTTAGACACAGTTGCTAGCACTCACCTTTCTGTTGTGCTATGGTCTTCCTGAGGATGCAGCAGTTCTTTTTCTCTATATCACAGCTAGAGTTTAGTGGTCCTGTGGCCACACTACGTTTGATATTTTACTCTTTGTAATGACATGCAGACTATCATGAAACTTAATTCTGCGAATAAATATATATGATTAAGCATCATACAGAAAATCAACTTTTAGTAGAATTTGGATTTAGTACTATATGTCTCAGAAAAATTGAGAATTCTATATTAAATTGAAAAAAGCCTACAGATGTAAAATATCCTGTGTATTTGAGGAAAGTATATCTTTGACACACACACGCCCAGAAGCCTCTCATTTATTATGTAAGGCTTGGACAAGAAGGGAGAGTGGAACTGGAAGGAGATGAGGGAGGTAATACAAAGTGAATAAATCATAATAAATAATAAAGAAAAAAGAAAAACTTCAGAAAATAAAGCCTATCAAGTACCTAAATCATTGTGATATTTGCAAGAGGCTTCTGTTTTTATGAAAATTGATAATAGTTCACAGCTGGTGTCTGTGAACTGTTGCCACTAACACTCCTATAATATGGGTTCACTATTCATCTCTCTCCCTGTCTGCATCTTTATTTTATCTTCCAAATGACTATGGTTTGATTTATAATTTACTTTGGCTATGTGACTACACAGTTTAAGGAAATGTTATAAAGGCAAACAGACAAGATAAGGATCAATCAAAGTGCACAATAGTGTTATACATCTTATATTAATTGCTTAAAATGATTATGTAGTTGTGTGAAGATATTTTCATTCTGAAAACAAAATCTCATCTGCAATACTGAGTTATCTGATACATAGTTGTAATATACAGCTTTGGATACTGTTAGTAATATACACCTGTGACTTTGTCTGGCTATCTTATGAGTCAGAATAGCACCTTTTCACATTTATTCATTTTTTTTTGTTACATTTCAAGGAGACAGTAAAGTTTACAAGGCATGTCAGATCTCAAGTATCGAATGTACTGTTCTTTATCTAAAATGTTTTTCTTAGAAGCTATTGTACTGGTTCTGAGTCAATAGAAACTCCATTTCTGACTTTTTTTATTTTTATGCAGATGATTATAACCTTTAAATAGGAACATGAAGTACAAGAACATAGTTTGATCATTTTCTGGAAATTACTCTAATATGAATGAATAAACAAAAGTGGATTTTTTGATTACATAAAAAATGACACAGACTTTAATAACCTTCTTATCTCAGGGAGACATTTATTAAGGATTAGCAGTTTGAAAGGGCTTGGGAGTACAGCACCTGAAAGGCTTTGTGAAGGGCAAGTTATCAAGAAATGTGCTCTGCCTCTCTTTCTTTTGACCATAGGATAATTGTGAGTAGAAACCTTTCACTTTCTTTAATATTTTCAATTTAGAAAAATTTGACCTCTTAGAAACCATAACCCCTCCAACAGCGATGAACACATTTGGAATTATGTATTATGAAACAAAGTTCCATGCTGAGCATATGGCCATGCAGGTAGAGCACCTTAGGTTTGTTGCCCAGCCTTGGAATTAATACATTCCTTGAAGCTGACGGAAGGTACTTGTGTTGTTTGCAAATTCGTTACTGGAAAAAAAAAAAAGTCCTCAAATGCCACTTTTGATAACATCTCAGGAATTCTGCCTCCTCAGTATGCCTCCTCATACTAGTGAATGCTGGAGATTTTCTAGGTACAATCCTGCTTGATTTGTTGCAAATATTCTGCTGTATTTGCCCATCCAAATGTGTGAAGAAGAATGGAGTTGGCCTGGCCAGGCTGTCTTGAGAAGTATCCATCACAAGCTTTTCAGGATAGAGTCCATGGCTCCGGGGACACAGTGTGCCTTCCAGTTCCTGGGAGACCTGTGTACTCCCAAAAGCACTGAAGTGTTCAGGCTGCTTTGTGATTCTCCATATGTTTCCTTAGTAGTCAAGAAAGCATGGAAGCGTGACAGCACAATTGGTCTGAGATATTAATCTTGTGTACCCTGTGTAACTTGAAAACCTCGTTGTATCCTAGCAACTACAACTGTATTGATCCCAGCAATTGCCATTAAATTCTGTTTTTGATGAAAACATAAAATGTCTGTTTGCTCTCAATAAAACTGCCACAGCCTCAGTTGTTCTGTGGACTCTCCAACCGGTCTAATTTAATTTTGGCCAGGTAAGTAAGTGCAGGCACTTACATGAATATATGACTTGATTCTGATAAATAGCATCATCCACATTCCCTTTCCAGGCTGCGCTGAGCCTTTTCTTTGTTTATATTTGCTGTTACAAACCCACTTTCCATCATTGGCAAAGTTAGTTTGGGGCTTCAAAGTGTTAATCTGTTGAGTAAGTAAAGAGGATCTATAGATAAATCTCAATTGATAATCCAATATTTAGTAGTGACATCTGTCCTGACAAGAAGGTGAGAAAAGGGTTAAAGATAATAACTTCTTTTTTTAATGATGATATTTTCCACATAGTTCAAGAAGCAGTCATTTCAGTGTCAGTGTATTTAGACATACATTTGACTTGCTAAAGAGATGCAGAGATTATGAAGCACACCACTGATGACACTCAGTAAGATGATTAAGAGTCTACATCGTATGTGTGTGATAAAATGAGGTTTCCTCTCTCAATTTATCTCTATATTCCAGTAACTAGATGACAAATATTCTTCCTGCAGTCTAGGATTTGTTCCAACTTCCCTATTGATAAGTTGAATTCCAGACTGTTTACTCATTAGTCTCCCTGGCTTAAAAATAGATATTAAATATTCATTAACCAAACACACAGCCATGCTTTCATTTCTAATGGTAAATATTTCCTTTCAGGCAAATTGACCAATTGCAAATATCATATCAAGAATGAGGACTCCATCTTCCCTGCTAAATGTAGCCAATATGATACTTCATATATTAAAATTGTTTTTACTTCCTCTTTTAATGCCATAGGCGAGTACACATACAAGCAAATGTCCACACAGAGGCACATTTTTTCCAGTTCATCTCCTCTATACCATTTATTATTGTTCTTTCCTTAAGTTTTATGAAAAATTTTAATGCTTATAAGATGGCACACATTTTTTCAGGTTATAAAAGTGGGTAATATGTGATCTGATATTTGTGATTTACAGCCACACTTTCTCTCGTGGTTGTTGCTTTCTGAGAGCTGGGTGTTGCAGCCGAGGTCCTCAAAATGAGAATTGTAATAGGAATTTAACATTCAGCCTTATAAATGTCCATTGGAAATTATTAACCTTGACAGGGGGAAAAGTTCTTTACCTTCAACATTTGAGTGGTTTTTTTTTAAGTTATTGTTTTGATGTATACTTCACTGTATGTTAGACAGTTTTAATAATGGGATAGCATATAGAGCTATTAAGGTGATGTTTTGCATGTTATAATTGCTTAGTTGGTTTCAGCATAGTCAATAAGACATTTAACAGTACTGCACTAAAATAATGGGAATGAACCTTTTAGACATTTTAAGTGATTTTAGATAATTTAATGAATATTTGCTCCTTAGTTTTGGACATGTTTATGGAAGCTATAATGTAGACATAACCAACATTGTTAGCAATAACGTAATTATTAATTATGGAACTGAAGATAAAAACAATTAAAACCACAGAAGACATCTGGAATTATTAGATTTTACTTTATGTGAGTCACTTGAAAGAACGTTTAAAATACCACAATTCTTTCTTCAAAGAGACTGAATCTAAGTGCTATTCATTTATAGGAAATTTGTACTATGAAATTCAAATGTCTGAGGAAAGCATCTAAAATCGTATCATTATTAATATATATATATATATTTTTTTTCATCTTGCAGGAGTACACAATAGATATAATTTTTGCCCAAACCTGGTTTGACAGCCGTTTAAAGTTCAATAGCACGATGAAAGTACTTATGCTTAACAGCAACATGGTGGGGAAAATTTGGATTCCCGACACTTTCTTCCGGAACTCAAGAAAATCTGATGCACACTGGATAACGACGCCGAATCGCCTGCTGCGGATTTGGAGTGACGGGAGGGTTCTGTACACTCTGAGGTAATACTGATTGTTACCTGAAGTTACATTGTCAGTTCTCAAACAGGAATTCTTCAAGCCAGCAGAGCAGGACATGGGGCTCCCTTTCATTTGTTAAAATCTAAAACGGGGAACTGTTTGGTGACATGATTTCCTAATCAGAGTTGCTGTTAAATGAGAGGTAAGGGAAAAGCGCTCGGACTTCCCACTTGGAAGCAGAGAAGGTTTCAGATCGTACTTTAGTTTTAATTCATTCATTCATTCGATGGTGTTTGTAAATACTTTCATTTTAAATGTGTATGAATTTCCCCTGCAATTATTTTGAGTCAGAGTTCTGTGTAGCTTTGGCGGTCCTAGAACTCACACAGTAGATCAGGTTGGCCTTGAACTCAGAGATCCACTTGCCTCTGCCTCCTCAGGGCCGGGATTAAAGGTGTGTGTCACCAACCACCACTCAGCCTTGCTTCCATGTTTACCACACTTCTGCCTGGTAGAAAGGGATGCCCCGGACCTGGAGTTATGGATGGCTGTGATCCACTCTGTGGATACTGGGGATGGAAATGATTTCCCTCAAGATCACTGAGTGCGCTTAGCTGCTGGGTCATCTCTCCAGCCTTGGCTGATATTGCTGAATATACAAAGGGAATTACTGTCATTTTCCTTTGGAATTTAATATTATTATGATATTTAGCACTGTAGTAAAACATCACCATGAAAAGATTGATGTGTGAGCTTAAATCTACTCAATTTATCCCCCTAGACATATTGGTCATTAAAAGTAATTTCATTATTTTCACTCTTTTAATTTTGCTTTTGAGATTATAAGATAGTTACATTTTCCCCATCCCCTTTCCTCTCTCCAAACCCTTTCATGTACCTCTCTGTCCTCTCCTTCAAATTCATGGCCTCTTTTATTACTAATTATATATATATATATATATATATATATATATATATATATATATATATATATGTGTGTGTGTGTGTGTGTGTGTGTGTGTGTGTATTCATATACATACATATTCCTAAATATAATGTGCTCAGTCCATGTAGAGTTACTTGTGTATGTTTTCAGGGCTGACTGTTTGGTGCTGGAGGACCAATAGGTGTTTTCTTTCTTAGGGAGATCACCTCTCCAGATCCCAGTTTTCCTCTGTTGCCTATAATTCCTTGTACAGGATTGAGGCCTCATGGGGTTTTCCCTTTTACCTTTGGCATCTCCTTGGAGTTGCCTAAATTCAGAGGAAAAAAAAAAAAAAACTGTGCACAACCTTGTATAATGAATTACTTTCCCATGCATTTGAATGTATTTGAATATATGTGCTCATGACATTCCAGAAGTTTTGTGTTTTTTGAATGTAAGTGTAAAGACTGAAGTGTATGGAGTAGCTATTTAATTGGCTCAAGGAGAAATACAGAATGATGGAATACTTATCATTAAACTTTAAGGTTATCTTAGCATTCTATTATACCACAGTCCATTATAAGAGGTCCAAATTATGTTTTAAAACATAAGTGGTTTTTGATAATTTAAACTATTTTAATGTGATACTTTTTTCTTATAAACAGATTAACAATCAATGCAGAATGTTACCTTCAACTTCATAACTTTCCTATGGATGAACATTCCTGTCCCCTGGAATTTTCAAGCTGTAAGTGAAAAAAAAATGATAATTCTACAAATTTTAGCTTCAAAATACTTCATAAAATATGCAAACTGAAATAAAATATAGTATTAGAATTATGGTGAATAGTCTTCATTTTTAAGTAAAGTAAGACTAAAATATATTTATTTGTTGCTTTTACATGAAAAATTGAAAATAAATGTATAGTATAGTGAATACATACTACAATGTAATCTTCACAGCTTTTAGTTTTATTTTATAGCCTTTTGCTTTTTTATTTTGTTTTTATTGAAAATATATTTTAAAAATAACATAGTTTTTAATTTTTTTATATTAATCACAGTTTATTCACGTTGTATCCCAGCTGAAGCCCCCGTCTTCATTCCCTCCCAATTCCACCCTCTCTCCCTCATCTCTTCCCCTGCCCCTCTCTAAGTCTACTGTGAGGGAAGGTCCTCAACCTCTTCCAGATGACCCTAACCTATCAATTTTCATCAGGCCTGGCTGCACTGTCTTCCTCTGTGGCCTGGGAGGTTGCTTCTCTATCAGGGGGAGGTGATCAAAGACCTAGCCACTGAGTTCACATCAGAGAAACAGTCCCTGTTCTCCTTACTAGGGAAACCCACTTGGATACTGAGCTGCCATGGGCTACATAGTGCAGGGGTTCTAAGTTATCTCCATGCATGTTTCTTGGTTGGAGTCTTCTGAAAATAGAGTTTTAATACAATATATTTTGATTTCAATTTCCTCTTCTTCAACGCCTCCAAAATGTCCCTTGATGCCCTTCTCATTTGAATCCACACCTTTTCTGTCTTTCCTTAGTAAACAAATGGGCATCTAAAGAATAATAAAATAAGATAAAAACAAAACCAAACTGTAAATGCTGAAAAAAAGAAAAAACAAACAAAACAAAAAATTAATTGACTACTCAAAGGAGCTGTGAATTTAGGCTTGCACTGGAATGTTTTCAAACAAGTTAATTGTAAATAATAATAATAAGAAGAATTAAGTTTTAAAAAAATTATATTAATCTCCCTAAGGCAAAATTTAATCTTATTAGTTTGGCTTTTAAACTATATGTGAAAAATGGATCGAATGAAAAGTATGAACTGTGAGAATAGAAAATAGTTGAGAAGATTTTAATGAACTAAAAATGCCAAATTACACATAAGTCTGTTTAATTAAAGAGGTATTAATGAATGCAGAAAAGTCTTAAGATATCAGTAATCTGAAAATAAAAATCAATCTAGTATTTTTTACAACATGATAGTTATGTTTTATTGAACTATTAATTACATTCAATAATTATTAATATGTTTATGCTCATGTATATTTCATATAAATATCTACTTACTGAGATAATAATCAAGTCTTAGAAATATATAGTCATTTTGAAAGTGCTATTGATTAGATTGATAAGTTAGTAAGTCTCTTTTCCTTTTTAAAAATCACTATTTTTGTTTAGAGCTTCAGCCACTCCCTTCAGGGTATGGATTTGCCACTCACAAGTTTTATTCAACTTTGTTTCTTATTTACCCCTCAAATTCTTTTGACTCCATTAATAACTTCGTAGAATATATTAATGTTTGCCAGACTACAACATACTTATATAATAATCATCTCAGATCCCAGTTCTATGTTTCTCAAACTTTGTCCCAGGAAAATATTAATCAGGAGATAAATTTCAATTCCCAGCTAAGACATGATTACTCAAGACATACTGAATAGGTGAATATTGATGGCATGGCAGTCATTGTTCTTTCTTAAAGATCCCAACTCTGTGTAGAAAAAAAATAAAGTTTTATTTTTACTAAAATATTTTCAAAATTTATAAATGATTACAAATAGGGAAACTTTTTAGCCACAGAACTCATATGAAAAATTATAACCGGAAAGGTAGACTTGCAATCAAACTGGACATGAAGATATTTTAAAAACTTCTTGATAACATCTTGTGTTATTTTGACAGTATTTCAGTGCAAAAGTCTAGAGGGAAATTAAAATTAACAGGCTTTAGTGGTGTAGACTAGTAATTCTAGCACATGAGATTCTGACCTGATTCCCAAGGTCTCAGCCAATGACGTCTGAGAAAGATTGAGATGTGTAAAAAAGGACAATAGGGTAAGAGCAACACATTTCTGTCATTCAAAAGCTACTTGAAGAAAACGCGTACCTGTCATTCATATGTAAGTACTGCTAAAAGAAAACTCACACCTGTAATCATAACTGTTATATAATTCTTTAAAGTGTGTGTGCGCGCACACACACATACACACACACACAACACACACATACATTTAAGTTAGTGTTTTCTATATTTTACAAGCTTCTGAATTAGACGAGAATTTTCAGTAGCCATTGTTTGGATGTTGCTGCTATTGCAATGGGAATTTGTTTGAATTTTGCTAAACTCCATATATTTTATTACAATTTTCTCTCTAGATGGATACCCCAAAAATGAAATTGAATACAAGTGGAAAAAGCCTTCTGTGGAGGTCGCTGACCCTAAGTACTGGAGATTATATCAGTTTGCATTTGTAGGGTTACGAAATTCAACTGAAATCTCTCACACCATCTCTGGTAAGGAGAAAATAAGCCATCAATGAATAATGCTGGCAGTGAACGCTGTTGTTACTAAGGTGTATAAAGTAGGATTACATTTTATGTATTTTACTTACTTTAAAACATATCTATTTCTTCTAGGAGATTATATCATCATGACTATTTTTTTTGACCTGAGCAGAAGGATGGGCTATTTCACAATCCAGACATACATTCCGTGCATTCTAACAGTTGTTCTTTCTTGGGTGTCTTTCTGGATCAATAAAGATGCAGTGCCTGCCAGAACATCCCTTGGTAAGTCTATACTATTACCTAATAAAAAAAAATAAAGATTAAGAAATAAAACTTCATTGATGTGTATGTTATAAATAGTCCCTAGACTACAATGATGTAATAATGAATAAAAAAGTTTAATATTACACCAAATCAAAGGACTTAAAAAAGAGAAAATCACATGGTAAAGAACTTGGAATTAGAAAACCTCATATTTTTCTTGTAAACAGAAATTAAATATATATAAGAATTAACACATTGAATGAAAAAATTTCAAAAAATTGGGAGATATATGAATCTCATTTAATCAATATTTTAATTGCTTTATAACAAAATTGGTTTTGTTTTAGAAGAATCACAATTAATCAAGATTCATTTACTGGTGAATGCTGGAATCTCTTATCAACGCTTAGCTCTTCCAAAAGAAAGATATCTGGAAAGAATGTGAAGCGTCTTGGCTTCTGTAACATCAAAAACAGTATAATTATTTTGTTACTCTTAGAATTTCCTTGTATATCACTACAAATAAAATAAATTGTCATTCTTATAAACGTGCATAAAACCAGTGAATTATTTTCTTATATAATATGATCACTACAACACACTGTTAGAGGAAGAGAATAATCTATTTTTTAAAGTATGAATTAGAAATTACACTTGTAATTTAAAAAATAGATTATTAATCAAGTTATTCATTTTTCTGTGTAAAGATTGAATCTCAATACAATCGTAATTTATCTAAAATGTAAAGTTGAGTTAACTTTATTTTCTTTGATGATTAGGTTTTCTTGTCATTTCTATGATAGCTGGCAAACAAGTTCATTTAATGATCAGTAAAATGCAAATCATGTAAAAATGTGATCAATAGATCCTGCAGTATCAAGTACCAGAAAAAAAAATTAGGGGGTCTTTTCCTAGGTGTAAACAGAGTGAGTGCACAAAATTTATATATCTAATTTTTTTATCTTCATTGCTTAACATATTTTGTGTTCCTAGTTAAATGACGTATGGAAAGTTATTCACATGGTAATAAAATGATTACTTACTTTCTGGGGATGCTGGTGGCAGTAACCTATAGGTATGAGAAAATGTCATTAAGACATGGTTCTTAAGCTCACAGAGCAAATAACTGGAACTCAGAAATGGAACCTAAATTTGCTCACATTTACCAAAATCTACCACAGGTGTATCATTTTTATTTCTAATACTAATTATCCATGATGTGCATGTTGGAGAGTTACTACAGCATGTTTCAGTGACACATGAGAGAAAATGGTTCCTGCTGCTTGCTCCCTACTAAAGACGTTTCTGTAGCCCTATCTACTGGATTTTTAAATTAAAGATCTTGCCATTCTGCTCATATTTACAACTCAAAAGTTATTTAGCATTATACTTACTACATTTAAGTGCATTAAACATTCCACTCGTGGATAAGAATAGGGGTAGTGGGAGCTGGAAAGATAACATGATAGTTAACATTCTTGCAGAAGACCCAGGCTCTTTTCCAGCACCTCCATAATGACTCACAACCATCTGTAGCTACAGTTCCAGGGAATCTGATCTGTCTTGTGGCTTTTCCTCACAATACTTGGTGCACATACCACGTGGTGTGCCATGTGGTACACATACAAACTATGTGGATATACATAAACAAAAAGTCTTATGGTTTAAGGTGTTTACTGGCTTCAGGTCTTTGTATCACAGTAGACAAAAAGAAAAAAAAAGAGAGAAAACAAAACAAACAGACCAAAAAAATAATGGAAAAAATGCAGGGCACCTCAAGCACTGAAGTGTCTTCTTCTGGACACTAATTTCTTGCTTTTTCCACTGGCAAGATCTTACCCCGTGGTCACCTCTGTTTCAGAGAAGGTGGCCAACGAAGATGTTTTTCAGAAAATCACCTGTCTACTAAAAATGGTTATTTTTTTTTAACTATGGAGGACAGGAAGACTGAATAGTAGGAGCCAACCTGTAATCCAAAGTAATTTAAATCATTAAAATTTCCTGCACAAAGAACACAGTGAACATAGGGTAGCCATGGTTACCGGCAGTTCTTTCTGGCAATCATATCCTTTTGTTTCCATTGTTTATTTCAGCTTACAATACTGTCAAATTAGACAAAAGGATACAAATGTTCCGTTATATTACTTTTAATCATCTATTATTTTCCTCCTTTTTCACAGGAATCACTACGGTTTTGACCATGACAACCCTCAGTACAATTGCCAGAAAATCTTTACCTAAGGTTTCATATGTGACAGCAATGGATCTCTTTGTCTCTGTTTGTTTCATTTTTGTGTTTGCCGCACTGATGGAATATGGAACCTTGCATTATTTTACTAGCAACAATAAAGGAAAAACCAAAAGAGACAGGAAGAATAAAAACAAGACTTCGGTATGTTTTACTTTTATTTTTTTAATATTAGTATTTTGATAACCACACAGGAGAACTGTACATACAACACTCTTTCCTCTTTTCTTCTTCTCCTTCCTCCCTTCCAAATTCACAATTTTTTCTTTAAATATTAATGTTACATGTACATGCAAATATGTATGTAAATGTATATGTGCAGATGTATATATAACCCCCCTGCATCCATTTATCATAGTTCATATGTGCATTTGTCCAGGGCTGATCACTTGGAATTGGACAAATTATCTTGTGGGATTTTCCTGAGGGCAACTGGCTCTCTCATGCTCAGCCACAATTGACCTCCTGTAGCAATTTATCTAGGGGTGAAACCTTGTAAAATTTCTCCTGCCTGCAACTGGTGTTGTCATGATGATCTTGGTTAGGCAAGTAAGTTCCTGATAATTCATAGGTGTATTTCCTTGGCATGCCTACATGACATGATCTCTCAGTAGGCATTCTTAGACATTCATTATTACAATGTTCCCACTCTCCCATGATTTCCACTTATCTTTGGGTTTAGGAATTTTACTGAAGATGTATCACTTGGGACTGGGCATCCTAAAGCCATTTAATCTCCATTTTCCCCAGTTATGTATCTATGCATTTGTCTCCATCTCTTGCAAAAAGAAGTCTCTTTGATGAGCAGTAAGAGTTGCACATATCTGTGGGTATAAAGATAAATATTTTGAAATGGTTAGAAAATGTACTGGTTCAAAGGGCGGGCAACCAAGTTCATGACAGAGGCAGTCCCTGCTCCCCTTACTCAGATTCCCACATGAAGACTGAAATGCCCATCAGCTACATCTGAGGAGGGGGTTTAGGTACACTCCATTCATACTTTCCTTTGTTGGTGCATCTGTCCTTTCAGGAACCCTGGGCTCATATTTTTTAGCTTTTTTGGTCTCCTTATCACTTGTACCTGGTGATGCAGCCTTACCAGATCACAGAGAAAGAGGATCCAGGCCATCCTGATGAGACTTGATAAGCTGTGGTCAGATGGCAGAGGAGGAAACTCCCTCTTTAGGTGGACTAGGTGAAGGAGATACGGAGGAAGAAAGAGAGAGGGATGGACTGGGAGGAGTTGAGGGAGGGAGCTTCAATTGGGACATATAATGAAAACGTTGTAAAACATTAAAATTAAAATTAAAAAAGGAGGAAGATAAAAGAAAGAATGAAAATATACTGAGTTAGAAAACTGGTGGTCGCATGTTTTCCTCTCAAGTTTATGAGCATTTCAGTTACTGGTAGGTGGCTATGTTTATAGTAGCATCATAAATTCTCTCCTGATGAGCAGGCATTAAGTCCAATTAGACCAATATTTGTTAGGTCTAATTAAAAAAGGGTTACATAGTAATGGGAAGAGGGACTGCCTCTGACATAATCTTATTGGCCTGCTCTTTGATCACCTCCCCCTGAGGGGGGAGCGATGAGACCTGATAGACTAAGATCAGAAGGAAGGAGAGGGGGACCTCCCCTATCAGTGGACTTGGGGAGGGGCATGCGTGAAGAAGGGGGAAGGAAAACAGGGTCAAATGAAAGGGGAGGAGGTCCTCCCCTATCAGTGGACTTGGAAAGAGGCAGAGAGGAGACCAGGGAGGGAATTGGGGAGGGGAAGGGAGTGAGGGAGCGGGATACAGCTGGGACACAGAGTTAACAAATTGTAACTAAAAAGAAAAATAAAAATTAAAAAAAGAACAAAAAATGAAAAAAAAATAAAAAAGAAAATGTTCTCCAACAACAAAATAAACTTTATTCAATTATAAAAAAAGAAAAAAAGAAGGGGAGGATGGATGGGCTTATGGGGGGGATACAAAGTGAATAATGTGTAATTAATAAAAGTTGGGAAAATACGTGTCCTTCTTTCACCAGTGTAGATATCTTAACAGAACCTTATTTTAGTTAGAGATGCTTTTCTGGACATTCATGATGTGTCTTGTTATGTAAATGGGGTACTTGAGAAACTGTGATAAAAAATAAATAAAATCAAGGTAAAACTAGATTTCCTATAACTGCCCAGTTTAAAAAAAATTCTTTATAGTTTTATCTACTGGATCTTCCTTACAAAACCTGACTTTTATATATATATATATTTTATAGAGTATCCAATCTTCATAGCACCACCCTTTACTACTCACTCACTCAATCTCCCCCAGGACTCTAACATCACATTTCCTTCCCAACTTCATGTTCTTTTCTTATAACTATTTGTTTATTTTAACATGTTTAGACTTATTAGTTCTAACCATATGAACGTGTCCATAGGAACATCTACTGAAGTCGTAACTACCTTCTAATAGCTATAATCCTAAAGAAAGATAACCTTTTCTCTTCAAGAAACTACCAAATCTTAATAGGTCCCCATGTAGGGGATGGGTTTATAAGCCATGAGCTGCTTCAAGCTAGAAATTTTAACTGGTGTGATTCTAGGTAGGCTATTAGAGATGCTGTGAGTTTGTATGTCGAAAATCCATGTCCAAAGGACAGCAATGAACCACAGTCTTCTTACAATCCTTTTGTCTCCTTTTCCTAGACTATCCATGAAGCTTTGTAAGGTGATGGTAGTGATTTAGATGTTCTGTCCATGAGTGAGCACTCAGTAGTTCCCAATACATTAAGAGTAACCTCTATCCACTGAAATCAGAAGTTTCTCTGCACAAAGCTAGGACCAGCACAAGCTCATGGATATAAACATAAATACTTATAAGGCAGTTTGAGCAATTGGCCATTTACAAGAACGACATCTACAGGTACTCCTCTATAATCAAAGACTTCCATAGACTTGAGTTTTGATCATGTTTTCCATACCCATCCTATGAGGCATACCTCAAATCCACTCAAGAAAGCAGCTGATTATCCCATAAATAGAATTGCATTATTGTACCAGTGGACAGACCCTGTCTGGCAGGTCAGTATTGTGGCTTTCAGGGTCAAGAGCTAGATAATGCCATTAATGTCCTTTCCTTCCCAACAGCCTGTGTAATGCCTAGTATTGCTATAAAAGCATGGCAGTGGGGAGAGGTTCCTGGTCAGCTCAGGACTGGCTTCTCTATAAACTCAACAAATGTATGTGTTTTTTTTTTCCAGCAATAAAAATAAAGTCTAGTTATGGGGAACAAACATGAGTAATGGCAAAAGACTACTGTTTAGAGTGGTATTGAGGTCTTTCTGACTAAAATTTTAGGAAGGAAACCCATTCCTTGAACTAAGGTTTTCATTTAATAACCCATCTCTGCTTGTGGTACTGTCCACTAATGTGTAGTATTTCTGTTCAAATTCGTATTTTAAAGATTACATTTTAAATTAGCTAACAAATGGATGGCACTTGAGTATGCTTCTTTCTACATCCTTCATTTTGGTTAATTCATCTTCTGACCCCCTTTTTTCCCAGTCCTTGCTTTTGTTACTGACCTATTGCTGTGAAAAGACACCATGACCAGGGCAAATCTAATGAAAGAAGGCATTTAATTGAGGGCTTTCTCAGAGTTTTAGAAGGTTAGTCAATTATCATTATGGCACAAACCAGATGGGTATGACACTGGGACAGTAGCTGAGAGCTTTTCATTTTGAACCATGAGCAACATGAAGAAACATACACATACAGAGACAGACAGACAAGAGACTGAGACAGAAACAGAGAGAATGGAATGAAAGTGTACTTGACATGGCTTTGGAAACTGCAGAGTCCACTGTCAGAGACACATCTGCAATCCTTCTCCTCTTACTCCTTCCTAAGAGTGTACCAGCTGGGGAGAAAACAATCTAATCAATGAGCCTATAGGGGCTATTCTTATTCAAGCCACCACAGTCTCCCAGCCCCACTTAAACCTTTATTCTTCTGCTGTTACCTCATATCATGTGTTCTAGTATCCTTTCTCACTGTATTTTTACTTGCATTGCAAGATCATAGATCCCAATATGTGTTTCATGCACATGGGCCCACTTGTACCTACCTGCTTTAGTGTTTCTGCCCCTATAATCCCTCTACTCTATGACCATTGCAAATGTACTCGACCACTCCCCTTCTCTAAATGCATCTCCTTCATCAAAAGCCCTCTTCGAGTTTAGTAGTTTCCACACATTCTACATGTTCAACATACAGGAGGACATAATTGAAAGAGAAATTCCACATTTGTCTATTGGAAAGTTCACCATATATAACTTTTCCAGTTCCATCAACTGCCTGCAAATTTCATCCTTTAATTGAGTGATACTCCATTGTACATATCTACTGCATTTTCATTTTTCAGTTGATGGACATCAGGGTTGATTTCATTTCCTATCTATTGTGAATAGGACAGGAACCAACATGGATGTACAGGTGCCTTTATAGTAAGCTATAAAATACTTTGAGCATATATGGATGAGTGATTTAAAATAGGTCATATGTAGATCCTATTTTAGCTTTTGGTGTAACCTGCATAATGTTTTTAGAGTAGCTGAGCTAGATTATACTCCCAAAAAAGTCCAAGATAATATGAAAGTTACATTCATGAACACCAAGATGGCTTCATTTCAGAGATGCAAGCATAGTTCATCGAATACAAATCAGTAAATGCTATCTATTCATAATAGACTCAAAGACAGAAATAATGTGATCATCCCTCTGACAAAAATAATTCAACAGTTCTACATGGTAAAGTAATAGAGAGTTTAGTGATGGAAGAGCATTTCTGGACATAATAAAGGTGGTGTATAACAATGTAGCTAACATTCTTCTAAAATGAAGACAAACTCAAAGCATTTCCATTAAGATTAGGGACACAACACGTGTTCTTGCCATTTCTATTCCATTAGTGCAAGATTCTGAAAGGGTTAGACTAACTTTGTAACCTATATGTCTTCTAAAGCCTATAATTTTGAGTTTTAGGTTCAGGTTAAGCTAACGCCTCTTAGTACCTTTCCAGAGAACGGAGAAATGTGACCTATCTGTGAGGACAGATATTAAAAAAGCGAGCAAGCAATGACCTTCACTCAGCAAAAAG